TTGAGGTGGGATTCAGGTGAGTGGGACATGGCTGAGGATCCAGGTGGGATCCAGGGGTGGGATTCAGGCGGATGGAACAGGTCTGGAGATCCAGGTGGGACAGGGTGAGATCCGAGGGGGATCCAGGGGTGGGAATCCAGTGGGATTTGCGGCTGGGGATCCAGGTGGGATCTAAGTGGGACATGTTGGGAATCCAAGGGGGATCCAGGTGGGTGTGAAAGGTCTGGGGGCTCCAGGTGGGATCCAAGTGGGCTCCAGGTGTGATGCTCCAGACAAACCCCTGCCTGCCCAGGTGTTGGGAAGCTCTGGTGCTTCCCTGTGTCCTGAGAGAATTTGTGTCTCCACAGGTGGCCCCAGCCCAGAGCAGGATGGCAGGTGAGTCCCTCACCTGGATCCCCGGGAATGCCGGCAGGGAGGGGAGGACATGGTGACAGGTGGCAGCTTTTGCCACCTGTCTGGGGAGGCCATCTGGGATCACCTGGGGTCACCTGAGCTCACCTGGGATCACCTGGTCCCACCTGAGCTCACCTGGGCTGTCGTGTCCCAGATTCCGTGGAGGACGTGCTCGCGGATCTCCTGGGATTCGATGGTAAAGTGGGACCCTCTGGATGTGCCCCGGGATCACCTGGGGGAGAAACACCTGAGCTGGGGATCACCTGGGGGGGATCAGCTGTGCTGGGATCACCTGTGCTGGGATCACCTGGGGGGGATCAGCTGTGCTGGGATCACCTGTCCTGGGATCACCTGTGCTGGGATCACTTGGGGGGGATCACCTGTCCTGGGATCACCTGGAGGGAATTCTCCCTTCTCCTGATCCCAAGTCCCTCCCTGACCCTTCCTTGTTCCCAGAGGATCCTCCCGTTCCCCCTCCCCGTGGATCCCGACTCACCTGCGCCCAGGTGAGCTCCAGGTGAGTGCTCAGCTCCTCCCACCCCCCCCTCACTCCCTGATCCCAAACCCCTGATCCTAATCCCTGATCCCAAACCCCTGATCCCAAATCCTTGATCCCAACACCGTGATCCCAAATCCCTCTGATCCCAAACCCCTGATCCCAAATCCCTGATCCCATTCCCTGATCCCTATCACAGGGGGGCCCTGGAGGAGGATCCCGGCGGGAAATTCCCTGGAGACGATGTGGGAGAGACACAGGTGAGCGAGGGCAGAATTCCCAAACTTTGGGACAGAATTCCCAACTTTTTGTGGACAGGTAAAGGGAGAATTCCCAACCTTTTGGGGTAGAATTCCCAACTTTTTGAGGGACAGGTGGGGGCAGGATTCCCAACCTTTTATGAACAGGTAAAGGCAGGAGTTCCGACCTTTTGGGACAGAATTCCCAAACTGTCTGGGGCAGAATTCCTAAACTTTTTGGAGACAGGTAAGGGCAGAATTCCCAACCTTTCTGGGTAGAATTCCCGAACTTTTGGAGCAGAATTCCCCACGTTTTGGGACAGAATTCCTAAACCTTTTGGGGATGGGTAAAGGCAGAATTCCCAACTTTCTGGGGACAGGTGAAGACAGAATTCCCAAGCTTTCATGGACAGGCCAAGGCAGAATTCCTGACCTTTGGGGCAAAATTCCCGACCTTTGGGGCAGAATTCCTTCCCTTGGGCTCTCTATCCCCAGGACCTGGATGACCTGGATGCAGAAATCCTGGGAATCTCCAGATCCAGGCCCAGGCCGGCAGGAGCTGGGACAGGGGCAGGGAAAAGCCTTGGGAAGCAGCTGGATCCCGAGGAAGGTACTGGGAATTCCACTGGGCTTTTCCCCTTGGAGCAACTCCCGTGGGATCAGAGCCCATTCCCTGTTCCCAGGGCAGTGATTCCCATGGGATCAGAGCCCATTCCCTGTTCCCGAGGCAGTGATTCCCATGGGATCAGAGCCCATTCCCTGTTCCCAGGGCAGTGATTCCATGGGATCAGCCCCCATTCCCAGGGCAGTGATTCCCAAGGGATCAGCCCCCATTCCCAGGGCAGTGATTCCCATGGGATCAGAGCTGTCCCAGGTGACCCCGGGGATGTCCCCAAGGCCGTTGGTGACCCCAGGATTGTCCCCAAGGCCACTGGTGCCCCTCTCCCCAGGTGTCCCCGGTGTCCCCCCCAGGGGTGGCCTCGGTGACCTCGTGGATTCCCCGGGAGGAGCCGGGAAAGCACCGGGAATGTCGGACAGGTGAGGGCCTGGTGGGACAGGACAGGGACAGGGGGTGGCCTGTGCCCCCTCTGTGCCCCCTCTGTACCCCCCCCGTGCCCCCCATGTCCCTGTGCCCCCCCTGTGCCCCCTCTGTGCCCTCCCTGTGCCCCCTGTGCCCCCCATATCCTCCCCCATGTCCCTGTGCCCCCCTGTGCCCCCCCATGTCCCTGTGCCCCCTCTGTGCCCTCCCTGTGCCCCCCGTGCCCCCCATATCCTCCCCCATGTCCCTGTGCCCCCCCATGTCCCT